CAGGCAGCCCAAGGTGACATACAACATATTACACAACATTTTTTAAAAAAAATGCTACAATTAATATATTTAAACAAATTATACAATTAAAAAATCAAATTTTAAAACAATCTAAAAACCTGTAAATTAAAAATCAGCATTCCTGAGATTGTTGGGCTGTTTGGCCGTGTTCTGGAGATTTTTCTTCCTAACATTTCACCAGTCCTGTGGCCGGCATCTTGAGAGGACAGGAGTCACAGAGACTGCCAAAACGTTAGGAAGAAAAACCTCCAGAACAGGGCCAAACCTACAACTACCATCGGATCTCAGCCTTCAAGAGTAAATTCCTGAGATTACTTACTGCTTATAGGCCTGCCTGAAGAGGAAACTCTTTGCCTAACAATGAGAGGACAAGTGGGAGGGGGGGGCAACCTGGCTTCTCCCACCAGTAAATCCCACAGTACCCACTGAGAAGGCCTCACCAAACAGGCTTGAGAAGGTGGTGGAAACAAGAAATTTCCCCAGGAGATCCTACAAGGCTCACCTGGGGTGATACAACTCTTAAAACTGCATGGACCCAAACTGCATTGTTGTAGTGTGTGTGTGTGTGTGTGTGTGTGCATGTGCATGCACATTCTCCACTTCATTCCAATTTTTCACCAAAAAAGTTGCAATAAAGGAATTACCTGTATTCATTATAACCTGATTACATTAAACTTGTCTACAGAGTATTGTCAATCCTACACTTGCCACATGGAAGTCTATTTTGATGACTTTTCTTCATAGATAAAGAATATTGTTGCTGATTTGTGCACGCAAAAGCTAAACTTGTAACTCCAGTGGCAAATTCCTAACTAACAAGGGCTGGTCACATTAAATGGCATGTATCTCATAATGTGACTGGCATCCCATTAGTTAGCAGCAACCTGGTGTGGTGAGTTATTCGATGTAACTAACATACATTAACAGGGAAGCACCAATAGGATTCTAGCCAATGTTCTGAAGGCACATCAATACTGGTTTTAAATCAGATCACCCATCTGGCTTCACTTTTGCCTGGCATTATGTCTTTTAGATTGTAAGCCTGTCCCATATTGTTTGGAAGCTTCTGGAAGCTTCCTTTCAGTTGAAAACTAGGGTAAAATGCAATAAATAAAGTGTTCCTGCAGCTTTGTGGAAAGTGTTATCACACAACAACAATCAGGCCTAAGAGTCTTTGGTGAAGAATTTTATAAATTAAATTTAGATGTTCTACCATGAAAAGGAGGTGAGCCAGCACTTCATCAAGGCATTCAAGTGCCTCTCCCTTCACTAAGAAAGTCTGCTTTTGTACTGTACAGAAGTGTATGAGGCATCATCAAATGATATTAGAGAAACACACATCCAGCTATATAAACTCTTTGTGAGTGCTGTAGAAGTAAGTTACTGCTTTTCTTTGATCACCAGTTCATTTTCTTTGATCCCCTGGTTCACACTACTGGGTACTGAATATTATAATATTCACCCATGACACAAACTGATAGCATTACCACAAAAATGTTGATGGCTCTTATTAAGATAGAGGTTCTAATGACAATGAAAATTCCAATTATGTTTTATGAATGGGAGTGGAAAAGAAGTCTTCTCTGATAGCCTCTAACTAGAAAAACTTTGAATTGGTTTGAAGTTGGCTTTTTGAAGAGATGAGGTGAAACATGCTTGTGATCCAGTTACTTTCTGGAGGAATTAGATGCAGGTTTAATAGTTAGCCTGCCTGCTCATGTAGAATAATATGCCTTGATTGTGCTTTCCTTATACATTTTGACAGTCCAGATTAGGGCCCTGTGGCTATATTTAAACTAATATGCCTTTGCAAATGCATGTAGTCAGATTGAGCATGATCTTCAAAATCTTGAATTATTATGAAAGATAATGGTGATGACAATGACAGAGCCCCTAAAAATGGTTTCCAGTCTAACAGGGCCAGATCTAACAATACTAAAGCACATGCTCCCTCTTAAGGATTTGATACACTTCAGAATTAAACAGCTTCTACCAAAGACAGCACACAGTATACCAGGAACCATTTCAGCAGTGGTGTAAAGACATAGGAAGATACTTCCTTTGCATAGCTCTCACTAGGCAACATTCAAAGAGACCTTACTACCTTGGGGCTAGGATGGGCAGGTGCATAAAAACGCTAGGGCTCTGCTCACCTAAAAATTTCAAGAAGTAATTTCACCAGGTTGTAATTTGCCATACAAACTATACCTCCTGAAATCTACTCTTCCACTCAAGCTGCCCTGTTTCTTTTGCATCTGGTCGCCCTGCTTGAAGCCCATTATTATGGCTTCCATTTGCCATCAGTGGACAGCAATAGCACCACAGCTGTAATTTACTCATTCCTTCCCCCTGGATGGAACAGATATTGGGCTTATTTTTATAAGCCTGATAACCATATAGGAAAAAGGGGAGGTAATTTGTATCCCCATATAAGCTGGTCAGGGAGGGAGTACAGTGCAGTTATAGGCACTGGCCTGCCAGTAACAATGTATATATTTATATATATTTGCATCTGTAGCTAATTAAGGAAATCAATGAAGACATAGTTGCATGCTACACATGCTACAGAATGTGAAAAGTACGTTCTGAATGAAAGAAGCTGAAAACAATTTGTGCTGTGTACTGTTCAACCTTGACATCCTATTGCAGTACCAGAAAATATACTGTAAGTAACACATTGTAGTTGCTAGATGGCTGATCTCAGAACTTGTTAAATTAGAAAAACAAACTGTGCCTAGAAAAATATGTTAAGGCAGTTGTCCTGTGATTCTGTAAATAGCAATTGTTCATATAGCAATCCTTTATGTGTTGTTGTTCTTATGTGCTGTTAAGTCAGAACTGACTTACAGCATCCCTAATAGGGTTTTTAAGGTATGTGAGATATTAAAAAGTGGTTTTTATCAGTTCCACACCCTTAGTGAGAGCCAGGGAATCCAACCCAAGTTTTCTGAGTCCTTGTCCATTACTCTATCCACTATCTCATACTGGTTTCCTGATGTGTATAGCAATTCTGTACTCCATTATGTGGGGTAGGGGAACATAGATCATCACTATTCTGACACAATGGCTGATACAAGCACTCAGGTTAGAACAGAAGATAGGGAACACACTGCTGTGGAATGAACAGCACAGATCAATTCTGTCAGCCACACTCATAGTATCCAGGACAACATTGCCACACCCTACAATATTCCCCAAGGTGGAACAGCCAGGAAAGCGTAGCAAATCAGAGTCTCAGGCATCCTTGCATACTGAGATTCATGTTTCCTTATGCCATACACTGTTCACAGGTGCCATTACATAATTATGTCATGTAGCTTGTAAGCATGCAGGAGCATACCCAGAACAAGTAGGCTGGCAGTCTGATATGGGATTAGCTGGAAGTTCTGGTTGTTTGCTGCTAGTCATAGGTTGGGCTCCTTCATGGTGTGCATGGGCCTATTTGAAATCAGCCCTTGTGGGGAGGGGGCAAAGGGATTCACAGAGAAATGTGCACTGGCCAGCAGCTGGAATGTCCTTGGAGCTGGATGTGCAACAAGTGTTTGGGAGGATATCAGAGAGAGAAAAAAACTGAATATTTTGGCCATCCCTCAGCCCCAAGGCTCAGCCAGAAGGGGTGAGGGCAATAACTGAGGCAATTATATCCCCTTCCGCTGGAGTGGTGGCAAGCAAACCCGGCAGATGCAGCTCCAGGCATCCAGACTGTGGTGTTGTAAGACACAAATAATTACAAGTGTTTCATCAATAATGGTTTGTACATGGAAATTAGTGCTTTATTCCATGTGGCAACTTCTGCTCTCAGCTGTTGGAGAAAAGATTATTTCACCAGCAAACTTAAATAGACCATTTTAACTTCACATACAGCAAGTGGTAGAGAGAGACATGCATCAGCTTTCTGGTGTGGATATCCTTTCTCTTGTTATCTATGTGAAATGTTCTTTCTTTGCCTCTTGGAATAGGAAAGGGATATGGCTACATCATCTTCACATGTATTTATTTATTTTTATTGTGCGCCTGTCCCCCACACCTTTTCTGCATGGAGCTCAAGGAGGTTCCTTTTTCTCATCTTCTTTCACAAGAGAGTTATGAAGTATGTCCAGTTGACTGATAGAGTAACTGGTGAAGGATCACCCAGTGAGTTTCATAGCTCTGTGGAAACTAGAATTTATATCTCCGAAGTCTATTTCCAATACTCTAAACCAGTGGCCCCCAACTTTAAGTACCCAGATGTTCTTGAACTCCAAGAAATCCTGGCTAGCACAGCTAGTGGTGAAAGCTTCTGGGAGTTTTGGTCCAAGAACATCTGGAGACTCAAGGTTGGGATTCAGTGCTCTAAATGCTACTCCGCATTGGCTTTCTTAATGTTATATCCACATTGTCCTATCCAGGATATTTTTATAGCATACCCGTGTCAGCCTCTGATTGATGAGGACTAGTGCCTGGCATTCTGAGTCAGGATACCAATAAGGTTTATAAGGGGAAAAATGCATCAGTGACCAACTGCTTTTTCTAGGTATGTTCAGCTGGCAGAGTATTAAGTATAAAATACATTTTCCTCTAAACTTCTGCTACCAGAGTTTTCATTTCTGGATTCTGAACATAAAC